GGCGGCTGCTGCAGGGGCCGAGGCGGCGGCTCCACATCGCGCGCCGCGCAGCCCAGGGAGCTCCTTCCTGCCTTCCGCGGCTCCTCCCGCTCACCGGGCCGACCGCACCCCGCCCCGTGCTTCCGGCCGCGCCTCCTCTCCCCGCCCCTTGCCGACGCTTGACGCGCGCGGGCACCTGTTCGCCGCGTCCGCGCGGGATTCGCCGGCCTGCGGGTCTCCTCAGCGGCGCGCAGGTGGCGCCGGCGGCCTTAACCCCTGCGCGCCCTCACGCCTAGGGGACGGCTGCGCGCGCCGCCTGCGTAGGCGGCTGGCTCTTCCCTAACGGTCCCGGCAGCCTCTTGCGCGCGGCCACGCCCCCGGCCCCGCGCCCGCTTCGGGGCGCGGTTCCGCTCGCGGCCTCGCTCCCACCTCCGGGCGTGGCCACGCCCCCAGCACGCTCACCTCAGGGTGTGGCCTCGCCCCGGGCCTCGCTCTCACACCCGGTGGAGCGCGGCCCCGCCCCCCGGGCTCGCGCCCGCTTCTGGGCTGGGGTGTTTCGGAGTCCGGTAGGGCTCTGTCTTGTCGCCGACTCTTGGGTGGTCTCTGGGCCACGGGGACCGAGGCCTTTCTTCCGGACCGGTGACCAAGCCCCGAGAGAGATTCGACTGGCACGAAATGTATTTAGGTGCGGGCCCCCACGAGAGCCAAGCAGTCAGGAGAGGGAGCCCTAGAGAGAGGTAGGAGGAGGGATGACTTCGGAAACCCGCATCTTCATGATGATGACTCAGGGCTGTGAAGGACCAGATGCTTCGGAAATCAGCAGCCCCGAGAGGAAGGGTTGATGCGGAGAAGTAACGGAAACGATTGCTCACAGATGGGGATACGAAGCAAAGGATCTCCGTAATGATAGCTGCCGTTTATATGGCACTTAGTGTGTGCCATGACCTGTGTCAAGTGCTTGCTGTTCGTTATCTTAGACAGTCCCCACAAGAACCTTACAAAGTGCTGTCACTTTCCTCATTTTATGGAGGAGGAAATTAAGGTCTGAGAGATGGGGTCGTCTGCCCAGGTTATTACAACTCGTAGTAGAGTCAGAATTCGGATCCAGAGAGGCTGACTCCAGGGTTCACGTAAACCGTAATTCTTTATTTTCTTCACATATGACAATCTTGAGGAAAATGAATGGTAGTTTGTGACCAGGATGGTTTGGGTAGATATAGAAGGAAACAATCGTGCAGTGATCAAAAGAAGACTTGAATAGACTACTAGGTGATCTCCTCCAGGCAGTTCTTGCCTTGACTTCATTGGTGATTGTTTCCTTTTCCTTTCGGACAGACAACCCTGTTTGTTTGTTTTAGTCAGATCATACCTTTATGCTTTTCATCCCAGTGGAATGGAAATTTCAGGACGTCAAGAGGCTGAAATAGATCAAGTGGCTTCTCATGGCTTTTATTGCTTATTAAATTCAGAACCTAAACAAATATTCAAGTATTAACGTCACTACCCTCAAACTGAAGGTGAGTTTCAAAGCTCCTGAGCCTCAGGACTGGCTTTTTCACTTGTTGATTGGAAATAGGACAGACAATTGAAGGGTTCCCACATCAATCTTAGAGGTAAATTTCTGCAGTTGGTGGGTACCATTCCAGCAATGGATTGTTCAAACGCCTTTTTTTATTATGCCCCTCCCACACACATACCCTTGAGCAGAAGTTGTGGGCCCTGATGAGATCCAACTGCAGCCCCCTTTTGTCTTATTTGAATCACGAAAGGACGTATTTCTCCCTAGTCTATCTGGAGACACGCATATCAAGAGCAAATAGGATTTCTTTTTTTTGAGTTGGAGTCTCACTCTGTCACCCAGACTGGAGTGCAGTGGCCGCTCCCGGCCACCGCAGCCTCGACCCACTGGGCTCCGGCGATCCTTCCGCCTCAGCCTTCCAAGTAGCTGGAACTACAGCTGGAACTACAGCACGCTACCATGCCCGGCTAATTTTTTTATTTATTGTAGAGATGAGGTCTCGCCAAGTTGCCCAGGCAGGTCTCGAACCCGCGGATTCAGGCAGTCCACTCACCTCAGCCTCCCAAAGGCACGGGATTACAGGCTGAGCCACCGAGCCCGGCTGCAAACAGGATTTCTAATCAAAAGGAGTTTCAGCTGTTTAATTTTCCTTGATGCGGACATGCAACCTATCTTTCCAAAAAGGACCTCGGCTTGCCCTCCTTGAGCTCAATCGTCCTGATCTATTTGACTTACCTGACAGCATGAAAATGAACTATTTTAGTGCTAATTCTAGCTTCTGAATTTCCTCTTTAACAATGTTCCACTACGTAACCTTACTAGGATATGATAATTGCTTATAATCGGTTTGGCCCTAAGCACTATATACCTGTGAATGGCCAAAGGAGACGAAACCCAAGTTTGGAGAACTATTTTAAATAGTGGTTCTTAAACTTTTTGGTTCCAGAATTGCTTCACACTCTTAAAAATTGTCAAGGACCCTAAAAATATATAGTTTACATAGGTTTAGATGTTGATATTTACCATACTAAGTTAAAACATAGAAAAAATATAAATACATAATTCGTTTAAAAATCCTTACAAAAACCCTATTGCATGCTAATATATTTTTCTGGACAATAACTTTATATTCCCAAACTTTAAAAAAGTAAGTGAAAAGAGTGGCATTATTTTCCATTTTGCAAATCTCTGTAAAGTCTGGCTTAAGAGTAGTTCTACTGGATTATTTGCTTCTTCCTTCAGTGTAGTGATATTTTATTTTGATTGAAATATATGAAGAAAATTTGGTCTCACCAAGGTATGTGGTTGGGAAAAGGAGGAATATTTTAATAGCCTTTTCTGATCATTTGGGACATTTTTCTTTGATATTACAGCAAAACTTGACAAGTGATAGTTTATTAGAGGTTGATCGCAATGTGAAATCTAAAACCATGTCAAGAAATTCATTCATCTGTCTTTCACTATGAATGGATCTTTTACCTATATGTGATTGATTCTGTAATGTCAGGCTTTTTTTGGGAAAATATGGGATTGATGCAGATCTTCTAAATATTGTTTCATTTCATTACACAATATCAAAAGAATCACATTCATTAATATCACCACTGATATTTTATTTTATTTTAGAGATAGGGTCTCACTCTGTTGCACAGGCTGGAGTGCAGTGGCATGACCCTGGCTCATTGCAATCTCAACCTCTGGACTCAAGTAATCACAGGCTCATCTCAGCCTCTCAAGTAGCTGGGTCTGCAGGCATGCACTACCATGCCCAGCTAATTTAAAAAAAAATTTTTGTAGAGACGGGATCTCCCTATGTTGTCCAGACTGGTCTTGAACTTCTGGGCTCAAGTGATCCTCCCACCTGGCCTCCCAAAGTGCTGAGATTACTGGCATGAGCCACTGCACCCAAAGTCTTTAAAGTATTGGGAAGCTATTAAGCTGATTGAAATAGTGGTACAAGTCACTTCAAGATAACCATCATACTGAAGTATGCATAGAAAGTACTTTATGAGTGCTTCCCATTTCACCACATGGGATATTAAAAAGGTATACTCAAGTGTCTGGGCTTAATAAAAGTACTGCTTCATCAGGGATATTCCTATATTTTTTTTCGTTTCTTTTTTTTTTTATTTAAATTTTTTAATTTATTTTGAAGACGTGGGATACAGACTGGGCGCGGTGGCTCAAGCCTGTAATCCCAGCACTTTGGGAGGCCGAAGCAAGAGGATTGCCTGAGCCCAGGGGTTCAAGACCAGCCTGGGCAACTTGATGAGACCTCATCTCTACAAGATATCAAAAAATTAGCCAGGTATGGTAGCACGTGCTTGTAGTTCCGGCTACTTGGAAGGCTGAGGTGGAAGGATTACCTGAGTCCAGCAGGTCAATGCTGGGGTGACTGTGAGTGTGCCACTGCACTCCTGCCTGGGCAACAGAAAAAAAAAGATGTGGGGTACAATTCAGATTTAGGTATACAAATGTTCATTATGTGGGTGCCCTTGTTGATGAGGTGTGCCCCCTTCCCCCCTCTCCCGGCAGTTTCCTACTACTGCTAATCCCACCCCCTCTTCCCCTGGCAGTTTTCCATTCCTGCCAATCCATCAGGGATATTCTTAAATGAAGCTAGCTTTTTGCCCCATGTGCACATGGGAGTGAAGAATAACATGTCTACCAATACACCTTGGTGCAACTGTCTCAACTCATGCTAAGTTATCAGTAGTTTATCCACAATTTATCCACAATTGCTTTTGCACCATCAGTGCAAATGTCAACACAGTTGAAAACAAAAAACAGTATTAGACAACTAGCATTATTATGATACGGGGTACAATTATTATGAGATTAATTTTAGCATTACCAATAAAATTAGAA